ACAAAAATTTTTGAAAACGGTTTTACCTCGAGGGTTTATCACCTTTTTTGAGCGGATGTTCCTTTGTACCATTTTCGATAAGGAGACAGAAGCGTCAAAGATGGTTCGATGCACATTGTCGGGTCGATAACAAACCTTAAAAAATTGCTCCAATTGATAAATTATAGTTTGATTCTTGAAAGTACCTGATTGTTTGGGAACCTGCGAACAAGAGAGAGGAGAATTAATCAGTTTCTTCAAAAAGCCATCAAAATCGATGAGTTTATCTACAACATATTAACACCACCATCGAAGGTAGCATTTTGAAACCAAAAATGAAGGAGAAAAAGTGGAGGGTGTAAGCTTGAGCTCTTTGTCAGGTCGAAGGATGAAATCGAGGACTTCTTCATAATTTCCTTCGTCGACACAAATATCTGCATCAATGCTTTCCTTACGACGAAGAGGAACAGACTTCATTTGGAAAAGCCCAAATTGTCGAGCGAATAACTACATGGTGGTTACGGGTGTAGTCATCGTGGTAGAAGGGGTCGCAGCGGCAGTGGTCAAGATAGGAGACGTTGCCGTGGTCAGGGCAGGAGTTGATGCAGAGGTGGTAATAGGAGCAGTAGTAGAAGCCACGACAGCAGAGGAGGATACAGCAGAAGAGGCCATTTGGAAACAAAGACAAGAACTTGAAGGACGGAGGAATGAGGTTCACCGGAAAAGGAGATTGAGAAACAAACCAGAGAACAAAGTAGAGAAACTTGAGCGCGAAGGAAGAGAGCAGTGAAAGTGTTTTTTACTCTAGGGTAAAAAAGAAGGGTTTAACGCGTCGGTGGGCCTGAGGTGAATGGGCTTATCAAATTAATTCAAATAGTTATTTTGAATATTTGTAACAGCCGCCAAAACATTGCTTCCCCAACGACAAATTTATGGAGCAGAGTGAACACGCGCCGTCAAGACCATCAATCAAAAACATCAATGTCTCATCAAACGATCACTTGCATTTAATACAGAGCAGAGTAGGTTTGATAATTTAAATGGTCACTAAAATAATTGCTGAAAAGAAAATTAAATCATAAAAATTTGTCTAATTTTTATAAATTATATAAAAAAATAAAACAAATAAATGTAGTTGTTGGGCTTACTCGAAGATCTGGGCTGATTCGCAGATCAAACAACTCGAAAAGCACACTCATGAGGTTCAAGGAAAGTATCAAAGGCTTAAGTTATCTGTACTCGAAATATACTCGAATCAATGAGCCAAATCGAACTGAGAAGTGCTCAAAAAAGTGGGAATTACTGAAGGATTCCAAATAAAGTAATTACCTTAGAACAGTTAGTTGAAAAGTGATCGAAGATGTCTGATAGACGCACTAGAGCGGTTATTAAAAGCACAGAAATAGAACACGTGGGAAAGGCGGTTAGAAGAAGTTACATACGGAGAAGTTGCATAACTCATACCCACGTCAAACATAATGGATAGCGGTTACACCTTACAACACTCAAACTCAAATTTTAACCGCTATTTAGTCAGTTTATAAATAGGAGTATTAACCTCGTGCACAAGGTCGGAAAACTCATACTAAGACTGTAATCTGAAGCACTCTTTTGCCTGCGCATATGGCTTTCGTGCATGGGATTGTTTTTGGGTATGGTTTCTTCTCGGCCACATTTCTTTTCTCTTTTTAGGAGTAGTTGTAGTGTAATTCGTTCTTCCTATTATCTATTATCGTGTAGTTCTAGTATTCTAACATTGTAATTCCTGTTAATTATGCAAATGAACCATGATCTGTATTGCAAATGTATCCATCGTTCATTATGTTCATTTAAGGCTTTACTTTCATGAATTTAATTACTTGTTGGTCATTGATGAATATTTAGAAACAAGTAACGTTTAAATCTTTCTGCTCGATCTCGCTTTACATCAACGTCTCAAAACGAAATATACCTAAATTGAAACGTGGTCGTGCTAGTCTAAATATAAAGAACTTATAAAACTAATTCCACCGTAAACAGTGTTATAATCTTGGTATTATGAATTGTGTCACATCTTGTAAACATAGTCTTTTTCTATATAATGGATAGAGATATCATGGTCTTATACTAGAGTTATTAACATTTTGAATTTTTAGTACAAGATATTATGTTACAAAGTTGCTATGCTCGATACATAACTAATCTTGAATAGTACAAGGCACCATGTTACAAAGTTGCTATGCTCGATATATAACTAAGAATTGGGGCTTCCATGAAGGCATCTAATTTAAAATGTGTAGGGTGGTGTTGAAGCAAGACTTTGACCAACAATCCTTGATCAAGGACCGATTATAGTTCATATATGAGATTGACCAAATACTTGTAGCTCTTCCACCCTTTAACTTCAAGCCCAAGAGAGAGATGAGGCTCGGGTAAAGGTGATTATGGATTAGGGAGTTCAAAAGATACATAATCTTCCAACCTCAAACCCTAAAAGACAAAAAGGATTATTATCAATGCCATAATCAATTAGGAAATTTGGAGAGTACAAGTTGTAAGTTTTTTTTTTCACATAAATCAATAAAAAAAATCATAATATGGAGTGATATCTCATTTATATACATAAAAATGCAACAAAATATATATTTCAAAATACATAAAAATATGAATAATTTTTTAGAACCAATATATCATGTTACACAAGCTAATAGGCTTAAAATCTTCAAAAATTTTCAAGTCTCACCTTCAGGAATAAGAACAATCAGTGTCTATCTCGATTGATGATTATACATGTCCATTTCAAAAGCTTACCTCACAAAAGATCAAACATGATCCCCAACTATTTCCTAATATATCTGGTAAAAAATAAGTTTGAAGCCATCAAGGCAAGGGACTTTATATGACTTCATACCCATGATGATCTTAAACACTTCCAACTTAGACATAAGATTTAATAGAGACTTGGCATCCTCCTCTTCTAAAGTCACAAAAGAGGAAGAAGTAGGAAGAAAAGATATTTTGTTTATTTCAAAACAACGAGCTAAAATACTTAGTCAAACCGAGCTCTTGAAGCTTGAGTTTGGCTTGTGAGAAAAATTGATTGTTCAAACTTGACTCCCTTATTTAATTAGGTTTGATTGAAAGCTTGAGTTTGGCTTTTTTTTTTTTTTATAAAAAAAACACTAAGTTGGCTTGCTTAGCTCATTTTCAACTTAATTATTTTTGCTTTTATAAAATTTTTCTTAAATTATTTTTTAATTTATCAATATAGCATTCAGTAATTATCTTGATATCAATAGAAAAATGTGCTTAACATGTAATAGATGGAATTGAATTATTTTATACTTATATTTCCATAATTTAGTAAATAAAAAATATAACTTATTACTATTAAATAAAACTTCAAAATTAATTTTAGGTATTTTCTTAGAAGAGGCAACAATTTTTTTTATTTTTTATTTTAGAAAGATAAAATTGAATTTACTAAATTGTCAAACTTAAGTTTAGTACAAATATCATGAAATCAACAAAATTAAGTTTATACATAACATATCCACGACATTACCAAAAGAAAAAATGTTTTCATGAAAGAAATATCACACACACACATAAACAAGCTATTCACGAAGAAAAAACAATTTCGCCTTACACCTCCTAATTGTCTCCTTGATATGTCTTTGATTAACTCACCCAATTGCTCCTTTCACATTTAATGGAATACTATTAAGTCTTTAAACATTATCATAAACTATAATGAAAAGTAGAAAGTAACTAGAACACACACTTTAAGGTACATGATGACTAATTAATAAGTCATTTATTGCCTTCTTATGAAAAATTCCAATGTCTAATTAATAATGAATTATCACCAATCACCATCGTGTCTCTATCACCACTTTGAATCAACAAATGCACAACAATTTTTATCACACATTTCGAGTCAAAAGACTCTTCATTAAGGTTGACCAATTTGAGTTATCAACCATAATTGGAAGAGCATTGAACTTTGTTAATTGATACATAGGTCCCACATACCAATATATCTAACGCCAATAACAAAAGGCAAGTCTAGCTTCTTACTAATTCTCTCAATTAATTTTGTGCCCTATTAGGCTATCAAATTATTGGGTAGTGACCACTTCAAATTACCATGCCTTTACTATCTAGTCTCATGTGCTTTTTTTTTTCTCATTCATTTTTACAATTTTTTCCTCCTTAGCAAATTTCATTCACATGTGTAACCCTAAACTATAACACTTGGGTCTCCTTGATTATGCCTCAACAAATAACTTAGTGGGTATCTTATGTAGTATTTCCAAGAATATTAAACTTATTACGAACACTGGAATCTACCACAACTCCCAATCAAACACCCATTCATTCCCTTTTGTTTTGGTCCCCTTTTATGTTTTGTAACCATCAACCACTCCTTGTGCAACCAATCATCATCATGATTTTTTGGTGCATTGTTCGTCTCCACTCTCGTTAAGGCAGTTTGACTTTGAACCTCTTGCACCCCGACTTTCATGAATAAGAGCAAGCTCTTGCCAAATGATCACACCTCCTACAATTTAAACATAGGAAATGTAGTCCCTCATATTCAATTTTGAACCAATAATTCTTAAATTAGACTTTATTAACAAAATTTCAATCCAAATTTATTTTAACACACACTCATGCAAATTTTTTAAGTGTTATATTCAACATCATCATATTAATCATAACGTGTTTACTCACTAAAAAATTAATGCCGAAAAACAGGAACAACAACAAAAAAAAATTGTCACAAACACATTTACTTTCATTTATCTCTCCTAACATTAAATATTAGGTCAAGAATACCGCCACATTGAAACAAAAACTTCAAATCCTACACTGTTTTATTATTATTTTTACCTAATTTAAAGTTAAAAAATGATTGATCCCACCCCGATCCATATCCTACTACAAGCCCTTTTTTTTTTTTACTTTTTAGCGAATGAAAATAAAACGGGCCAAAACCATATGGGCGAAGCCCATTTCAACACCCATGCACATGAAACCAAACCTTGGGTGGGTAGCGAGGAACTGAATGTTATGTGTTGGAGAAGAGAGAAGAAATTTGAGAAGTGGAAAGGCGCAAAGCAAAGGAGAAGAAGCAGCAAATTAACATTAACCAACTCATCTCATCCATTCATTCAATTCTCAAAGCCTCAACATTTTGCTTTGCGTCTAATTAGGGTTTTCATGTTCTCCCAAACACTTCCTTTTCCCAGATCCAACACAACTCAAGAAGCGATTTTGATTTTACCACCATGAACAACAATATCAACAACCCAACGAAGAATGCTGCAACCCCGTCGTTTTTCGCCAATCCCGGTGTACCCTCCATCCCCATGAACCACCCATCACCGCACCTCCTCTCCCAACCCCAAGGCGCCGCCGCCGCCACCACCACACACTTCCACGGCCACTTCCAGCTCTCACAACCCCAAACCCACGTGGTGGCACAACCGCACGTGCACAACAATGCCACCACCAACACCCACGTGTCACCGCCACCCCCTGCACCCCCGAAGCGCGCAAATCAGAAACCCCCTTCACGCCCTCCCGCTTCCTCCAACGCCACCCAATCCTCTGCCTTCAAGACCATGGAACTCACCGTGGCTCCTCCGAGAAAAAAGAGAAACTTTCCCGACAACCTAATTCCCCAAAAAATCGCAAACCTTGTTCCCGAGTCTGCTATTTACGCCAAGTTGCTTCAGCTCGAGTCTCACGTGGATTCTGCTCTCGTTAGGAAGAAAATCGACGTGCAGGAGGCTCTTAAAAACCCTTCCTGCGTTAGGAAAACGCTTAGAATTTATGTCTATAACACGTTTTCGATGGAGGACCCTTCTTGGGTGCTTAGGATAACCGGAAGAGTGTTGGAAGATGGTAAGGACCCTGTTGCAGATGGAATTCCGCTGAAGGAGAATCCAAAGTTCTCTGCTTTCTTCAAGAAGATTACGATATATTTGGATCAGGGTTTCTATCCGGAGAATCATGTTGTTGTATGGGATAATGCTCGTTCGCCGGTTCAACGCGATGGGTTCGAGGTGAAGAGGAAAGGAAACAAGGAATTCACTGCTGTCGTGAGAATGGTGATGAATTATTCGCCTGACAAGTTTGTGGTTTCAGCTCAATTGTCTAAAGTTTTGGGGATTGAGTTTGATTCGCGGTCTAGGATCATAGCTGCTCTTTGGCACTATGTGAAGGCTAAGAAGCTTCAGAGCCCGAATGACCCTTCGTTTTTCATGTGTGATGCTTCTCTCCAAAGGGTGTTTGGGGAGGAGAAGATGAAATTCTCCGTGGCTTCGCAGAAGATATCGCAGCATTTGTCGCCGCCGCAGCCTATACACGTGGAGCATAAGATCAAGCTTTGTGGAAATGGTCCATCCGGAACTACTTGTTATGATGTGCAGGTTGATGTGCCTCTTCCGCTAGAGAAGGATATGTCTGCATTCTTGGCAAGCACTGAGAGGCACAAAGAGATTGATGCTTTTGATAAAGTGATATGTGATTCCATAAAGAAGATCAATGAACATAGTAGGAGAAGGGCGTTCTTTCTCGGCTTTAGTCAGTCCCCAGCGGAGTTTATTAATGCTTTGATCGCTTCTCAGAGCAAGGATCTGAAGCTTGTTGCCGGTGATGTGAGCCATAATGTTGAAAATGAACGGCGTTCTGAGTTCTACCAACAACCGTGGTAAGCATTATGCTACTTGCATATTTCTCGTGTTGTGAGGCATGTGTGAATGATATTAGTTTATTTGCAACTCAGTTGGCTATGACCTGAATGTTGGTATTTATTGGTTAAAATTGAGTGTGGGGACCTCTGAAACAGGCAGTTTAAAAAAGAAAGTGTCTGTGTCTGGCACTAATTTTAGACGCCATGCAGCACTTTGGCTAAGTGCCTGTTCCATGTTTCTAGATGGTAACTATTACCAATAGGAATTAGGAAATTGACAAGGCTCCTCCAAAATAAGCTAGTAAGGGTGCATGCCCTTGATTTGATTTGAAGTACATTTAAAAGTAGATACGTCCTTGCTTAGTTTAAATGCAAGTTCATTTCAGAGGAGCCTTTTCCATTTTATTGTACCATTTTAGGGCTTCTACAGAGTTCTGTTTACGCTCCCAAATGATGCATACATTATGCAGAGATTACAAAGTGTTTAAGTATGATTTGGGGATAAAGGCAGTGGCAGTAAGGTATTTAATACAGAAGTGATACATGACTGGAGATTTAGGATTCATTTGTCTGTGTATTTTTTAAGAAAAAAAGTTTTTTTTTAAGGAAAACATCTCTCATCTGTTTCTGCATTTTGGTTTTTAAACACTTGTTTTGGAAACAATTTTCAGAACTTAACAAGTTTAGATGAGAAATTGATTGTTAAGTAATGTGGAATTGTTTTAAAAAATTGTTTTGAAACACCACAGGCCTTTAGTGTTTATTCTCAAAAGCTACAACAATGAAGAGTTAAGCCGGAAGATATCACAAAGATGTCTTGTATTTGATTTATTTGATGTAATGTAGGCCTTCAAATATATTAGAGATTTCAGAAGCTGCTTCTAATCGGTTTGTGTTCTTTTATGAATATTTCCAGGGTTGAGGATGCTGTTGTTCGCTACCTGACCCGGAAAAATGCTCGAAGTGATACTCCTGGAAGCCTCTGAGGGGAAATTGTGAAATAGTTATTTTTGTTTTTATTTTTATTTTTGGCTGGCGGAAGGGGTTAGTTTTCTGATATCACTTCAAGGTCTTGTCCCAACATTTCTATAATTTCTAATCCGTGCTCATCCTTTCTTCATTTTTGTTGGAGAGTAGAGTACTAACAGGGTATATTGACCCAACAATTCTGATCGCCCCTGGCTCATTTTTGGAGTCCCTCAACTGTATCTGTATCTATTGGTTCTCTTCTACTTTTCTTCTCTCCGATTCTAGTTTGGCAAAATGTTGCAAGAGCAATGAGCCAACAACTTAGGTAGCTTCATTGTTTTCACAGTGGTATATTTAAGTGTTATGGATTAGATTTCTACGTTGTCCTTTTTTCCAGGCATGCAGAATGTAAGGATTAGACAAATGTCTCCGCACTTCAAGGAGCTAGATTTTACTGTATTTATTTGAATGTATAATTATCGATCGGAAAATAATATTTAGACACCCATGATGCTATGTGACACTTGGTGAGAGGGAGATAAAAAGAGAAAAATATAGGTATTATAGGTGATATGGTTCGAGTAGGAGAGATATTGAGAAAAATAATGGGTGTTGGTTAGGTGTCTAAAAATCATTATTCTTATTTATTTCTCAAAATCAAGACAGGTGTTTATTTTTTTCATTGTAGCACTGAAATTCTGCTAGAATTTACACCAACTTAAGTGACAGTATTTACAAGTGACCACCATGGTAGGCAATTTCATTTCCACTACGATTGTTTTCATCCTTGCCATCTCCACCTTACTAACGTGTGCAGCACCAATGTACTTAGTTTCTTCAATAACATACCTTAAACCATTCGAAAATTAATGTTCTTTTTCTTCATTTTTTTATAACTTTGTTTTCTTTCAAATGCTTAAACTTTCTGTCATAAAAATAATATGATCTCCCGGTTCTAGCCATAAGTTAAGACACGATAAAGGAGGCCTGGCTGCATGGTAATATATTTCAAAAATCTTTACCCTCCCTCTTCCGGTTCTAGCCTTGCCTGAAAGGTCATAAATTCAAATTCAATCCCTTTGAAAAAACATTTATCTTCTCTAGACCCTACTAAATAAGAACCCTGTGCATATAGTCATTTTTAAATCAAATTAAAAATATAGTTTTACAACAATTACGGATTGAGTTTATTATAAAAACCCAAAAAAGAAAAATCCAATTTAGAGAATGTAACGACAAGAAATCAAGGTGCATCACTTGAAGCCATCAAATTGCGGTGGCTTTAAGATGGGAGCATCGCCTGTAGGTTTGGGTACAACAGGAAATGAAAGGGTCCTGCGTGTTTCTATGTGATATCAGAGTTTGCTACAAATGATGAGTGATGTGTTTAATAGGTCATTAAATCCGAGTCATGTAATTAGTTCCTGACTTTCACATAATAAGAAATCTCCCTCACAAAATATACATATATGTGTGTATAATATATATATATATAATATATATATATATAAGAACTGTTCTTACCGGGGATTTGGTGTGGAGGTGATCCGCCGAGTAAGATTGGTGAGCCTCCTTCGCTGGTACGTTGGTGTTCCAAGATGGAGGTGGTACCTGCAAAAGAGACTTCGATGCTAAAGTTTGGGTTTGTATGAGTATGAGTCTCGTATAAATAATGCACGTACCTTAGTGTGTATTAGGGTTTTGTTGGGCCTTGGGCTCGAGATCAGTTTATGACCTAATTGGATAGCGAGCCGATATTGTCCGAGGTCACTCCGCGCTGTGATGCCGAGCTCGAGCTCGGCATAGCGGTACGGATAGTACAAGAACTAAATTTTTTCTAACTTAAAATAATTGTAATATTTTTGCATTTAAATTAATCGATTGTTTTGAATAAAATAGAAAAACAGAAGTTATCAAATAATCTATTAACTCTTCTCTGTCATGTAAAATTTTCTTTTTGCAACATAATTTCTTATTCATCTATAAAATGAATTAGGGTTTTTGACCAAAGTGGGGTGGTTGACCAACTTATTTACGCAATTGGGGCTGTTTCAAAAGTATTTACGCCTTTGGGGTTATTTTCAACAGTGTCGCTGTGGCCCACAGCGACACCCCTGCCACGTGGTTTTTTTTTTTTAGCGCTGAAATGAGCCAAACAAGTGTCGCTATGGGCTGATCCACCACAACTTCTGGACCAAAAAAGATGGTGTAGCCCACAGCGACACCACCTAAGAAAAAAAAAAAAAACCTACAGCGACACTGTGTCGCTATGGCCCACAGCGCCACTATCACTATATATACCACTTCCCAGCTACGTCTTTTTCACAGTTCAAATTATATATTTATCAGTTACGTTTTGGTGTGAGTGAATTCTCTGAACCAGTTACGTTTGCTTGTAATTCGGTGAGTATTTATTTTTTTAAGATATAAATAGTACGTATTTGCACTAATTAATTTTTTTGGTTGTAGATATTATGGATCAAATGATTGCTTATATTTACACTGGAAAGATGTATGAAGGTGCTGAAGGTGTAACATTTGATGGACCAAGAAAAGGAATGTATATCAAACGAGGTATCACTTTGGATATATTAAAAAGAAGAATTCACAACAAGTTTAATCTTAACTCAAATCAAGTGATATTATCCGTAAGTTACAGATTTTTAGTTTCACAAGGTGAGAACAACATATATTCTTCATTGGAATTGAGTGACGATGATGATGTACAATGCATGATAGAAGCATTTCAGAGCCAGAATGTGATGGCAATAATGGAATTATATGCTGAAATAGGTATGCAAGAATCTTCTACTTTTTCATTAGAAAATTTGTCAATTGAACGATCACCTTTGATCACAAGAGATGAAGATGAAGATGACGAAGATGATGAAGACTATCATGTTTCATCATCATATGAAAGCATTGATGAATCCAATGAAGATGAAATTGATAATTGTGAACCATCTGATGATGAGGTGCAACCAAATGTTGTTGTTAATAGTCCAATGGTTCAACCAATTTCAATGTATCCATCTACTGAAGGTAACATTTGAAAATTAAATATGTCAATAATTTGTTATTTGTTTAAAATAATTTGTTGAAATTGATTTTATTGAAATTACTAAATTCATTATTTTGAAAATAGGTGGAAGTCAATTTTGGGGTAATTTACCCCACTACACTAACATCAATTGGAATCATCCTGATGAAGAAGATATCCCAGGGATGGATGTCGGTAGTACTTGGTCAATTGGGCAAGATTTATATGTCGGGTTGGAGTTTGAGAATAAAGATGCAGTTAAAAATGCAGTCAAGCAAAATGCAATGAGAATGCATCAAAGTTTTTATGTGGTTGAGTCGAAAAAGACTAAGTGGGTTGTTAAATGTCCAAATGCACATGATGGATGTGGATGGTACATGAGAGCCATTGAGTCAAAGAGATCTGATAAGTGGAAAGTGACTCAGTGGGGTGGACGTCATACGTGTTTGAACATGTCTTTGTCGCAAGATCATGCTAAGTTAGATTCTGAGTTAATTGCAACATTTATACAAGGTAAGTTTTGCAAATTTTATAGTTTATATCAATAATAATTTATCTTAGTGTTTACTAATATGTAATATGTAGGAATGGTTAACCAAGATCCATCAATCAAGATTAGCCTTATCCAAGAGAGAATAACATCTCAAACTGGGTTCAAAATATCGTATAGAAAGGCTTGGATGGCGAAACAAAAGGCAATTGTTAACGTTTTTGGAGATTGGGAAGAATCGTATGCTTATTTACCTCGATGGCTGCAATACATGAAAGAAATTGCTCCAGGGTCATTTTACGATCTGTGTCATGATGAGTTTTTTGTTGGTAATCGTTGTCATCGTGGTTATCGTCAATTTCACAGATTATTCTGGACATTCAAGCCGTGTTGTGATGCCTTTAATTTTTGTAAACCGTTGATACAAGTTGATGGCACTCATCTATATGGCAAGTATCGAGGTACATTGTTAATTGCTACAACACAAGATGGTAATAACAACGTTCTTCCTCTTGCATTTGCTGTGGTTGAAGGAGAAACATTACTTGCGTGGTCGTGGTTCTTGTCTCATTTGCGGTTACATGTTACAAACAAAGAAGGGATATGTTTAATATCTGATCGACATCGTAGCATTAAATCGGCCATTGAGAATGAGGCAATTGGTTGGAGACCGCCAAATGCATATCACAAGTACTGCATTAGGCACATTGCAAGTAATTTTAATACTCGATTCAAGGATGTGAAACTTAAACAAAAGCTTGTGAAGTTAGGTACGTATTGTTATATCAATTTATTTATTTATTTCAAAATGTTTTTTAATAATTTTAAATTTTTTATATTCTGTATTGTTTTTAATTGGTATGTAGGGTATACACCGTGTAAGCACATTTTTGATCGCAATTTGCAAAAGTTTTGTGAATCTAGCCCTGATGTTGAAAGGTGGATAGGAGCGATATCAAAAGACAAATGGAGCATGGCATATGATGCAGATGGTCGAAGATATGGTCATATGACAACAAATTTGTCTGAATGTGTTAACAAGGTGTTAAAGGATTGTAGAAATCTGCCTATCACTGCATTAGTTCGGTCTACTTATACCAGGTGCGCTGAATATTTTAGTAATCGTGGTAGTCGTGCTTTAGCCGATGTTTCATCTGGGAAGGTCTTCGTTTCAAAGTTGGTTGAGGCTCTGCAAAAAAATCAAGAAGAGGCTTGTTCCCATCAAGTTTGTAGATACGATATTCAATCTTCAAAATTTGAGGTTGAAGAGGCATTTGATCCAGTAACACAAACAGGAGGGAAGAAATGGGTAGTCAATTTACAGCAACGATACTGTCAATGCGGAAAGTTTACAGCATTTCACTATCCTTGTTCTCATGTTATAGCTGCATGTGGTGTTGTTAGCATTGATTACTACCAGTTTATAGATCATGTTTATACCTGTGATTATGTTTTAAAAGCCTACTCTGGTCCGTGGGAACCAATCGGAAATGAAGACTTAATCCCTCCAAGTAATGAGGATTGGATACTTGTCCCAGATCCATCATCGGTGCGCGGGAAAGGGAGACCAAAATCCACAAGAATTAGAAATGAAATGGATTGGGTTGAGAGCTCACAACGACGACCAAAGTGTAGCATATGCAAATAAGAGGGTCACAACAGGCGCAATTGTCCATCTAAGTCTAATAATCAGTCGATAAGTTTTGAAGATGTTTAGAATTTTGTAAACATAATGTAATTACTAATGGGTATTCATGATGATCATTGTATAACATAATGTAATTACTACTGTCTATTCATACAACCCTACTTTGGTCAAAAAGCCAATGAATTATAATCTAATGAGACTTAAATCCAACCAAATATTCTCTTGATCCAATACAAAAGTGGAAACTTTCACGATAGGTTTTCTCTTTCAAAGGAGTGCTGACACTTCCTACGGCACTCTTTCAATAAAATTTAGGCTAAATTATATTTCTTCTTCTTTATTTTATTTCTAAGATTCATTTTAATATTTTTTATCTTAAAAAATATTCATTTTAATCTTTTATCTTCTTAAGTTGGATTAATTTGATCCTTTTAAAATAATTATTATTTTTAATTTTGAGACAATTTTAAGGTTATATTAACTAATTTAAGACTTAAAACTAGTCTTATTAAATTCTCTTATATAAAAATGATTGAAAACAACTAAAATTTAAACAAAAAAATTTCATAAACAAGATGAAAACTGCATAAATATAAGTCAAAACAATTAAAAAACTCCAAAAATTTAATTTCATATTACTTTTAATTGTTCATAAAAAATATTTTTTGCATGATTTTCATTGTGATTAGCTCTTAGATTCAAATGCCAATTGAATTTTATAATTTTCATATAAGTGAATATAATTTCATAAATTGCATGTCTTGAAGTAATAAAAATTTGATTCAAAATTATGTTATAAAATTGAAAATGATAATTTTTTTAAAAAAAGAATCAAATTGATCAAAATATGAAAGATAATAGACTAAAATGAATATTTTTACATATAAAAGGTCAAAATGAATTAAAAAATAAGATAATAATAATAATAATAAAAGTATAATTTAGCTTAAAATTTATTAAAAATCAAACAATTATTATACAGAATTTGTGATTATCTCTTTCTCTCTAGTTGCTCATATTTTCATAAAATGGATCACTATTAGTTGAAATTTACCAAAACCACAATTGTTATATGAAATTTATGGCGGTCTCTTTATAGACAGACAACTTTGATAACATTTATTTATCAAAAATCAATTAAATAAAATTATATAATTATATATTGAATCAATTTATGAATCAAACAAATCAAATTATACACAACTCAAATTCAATTCATTTGTATATCAAACTCTAACTTTAGCTCAAAATTCAAAGTACTAAATATTAAATATAATTTTAAACTATTTTCAAGTTAATTCGGTTCATCACTATCCCTACTCCTCAATACAATGACTAATAATGCCAGACAACATAGACCTATTTGTATGTCTAGCTTAAGAGACGGGATAGAAAAGGAAAAATATGCTTCAAAGGGATCGTAAATGTAACTTGAAAGCCACTATTGATACACGCACCAAAAAAAACATACTTAATTCTGACTCGAGAAACAGTAGGAACGATGATATTCGACTGTAACTGTAATTTGCACTAGGTTTATATATATTAGATCCAGATCCTAAGTTACAACACTAACTACTCTTACATTGAATGCTTCATGAGAAGAGTATTCCTCCAATCACGATACGCTTAACCAGTTGCATCTTTTAGACGAGTAATAAGCTCCTCCTGCAGATTTTATTTCACGTATTAGTACAGCAAACGCCCAAAAAATACAGATAAAGATAACGTGAGAAAGTAACCACTTTGACAACCACCAATCATGGATCAAAATTATATCACTTGGCAACCATTACATTATGATGACATGTGAGCCAAAAGTAAACAAAATACTATGAAGCAAACTATTGAGATTTGAGTGGTCTCTTCCAAATGCCTGTAAGCATATGCTGTCTCAATGCAACTTCAGTATGTATGCATGTATGTTGAAATTGTAGGAATACTTGCCTTCTTTCCTTTGGTTGAAAGACCTTTAGCTTTCAAAAGAGCACGAAGCCTCTCTACAGTCAGGTTGTGAAAGTCCCTAGTGGTTGCTTGACTGTTTGATCCCTCTGCATCATAAAAACCATAATAAGACAAAATTGATATAGTGGAATTAAACAATTTCAGCTTACTTGGTCTCTTTACTAATCTTCTTTTCTGTTTGTGTGTGTGTGTGTGTGTGGCGGGAGGATCAAGGTTGTCAATCTCGAGAGTTTACGTAATCTCGTGAAGGCTCCGTAAACTCGTATCGTAAACTCGTCTTGTAAACTTGGAAGAGATTACTCAATAAAAAAATTATAAAAATAATTAGAAATAACATAATAATTGAACATTTTAACTCCATATTAAAGAGTAAAATAACAAATTACATTAATAATAAAATGCTAAAGTTCTTAAAAAAGTTCACACAAATGACAAAACACAAGTTCTTAAAAATAGACAAATAAAAAATTAAGAGTAAGTTAACAATGAATCACAAAAAAAATATAAGTAAAAACCCTAACCAGAATTGCAGAGAAGCAAAGTTGCGGAGAAGCAGAGTCGCGTACTAGTAGAGCCGCGCACTCAAGAAGTCGCGCGAGCCGCGCACTCAAGAAGCCGCGCGACTCACGGAGGAGAAGATAGACAATCACGCACGGAGAAGAGTGGTTCGCAGAAAAGAGTGGTCATTCGCGGAGGAGAACGCACGGAGAAGTGGTTCGCGCCTTCACCATGGAGAAGACACGAGAAGAACGTGTAGTGGTTTCCTTTGTCGTGGAGAAGATAGCGGAGCCGCGAAGGAGATCATTCGAGAGTGAAATGAGAGTCACTGAGTCAGTTCTTAGCCCTAACCCAAAACAAGCGTTTTGTTTATTTGGAGAACAAAAAAAAAAGTGATCTCTTAAACTTAGGACTGATCTCGCGATATCACCGAGATTACTCAACAACGAGTTTACTGAGTTATACAGGTAAGCTGTCCTAATTTCGTAACCTCGTACGAGTTTACGAGTTATCACTAGAGATTGACTACCATGGGGAGGATCGTATATTAGAGATTGTGCAAGCACATGTAAAGGGAATAGGTTTCCCCGATAAAGCACTGAATCCAATATCACCACCATATCATGCCATGCCAAGCAAGTTATAGGTTTGTTGGCCTTAAATAGGTTCTTAATATTGAATGCAGTTGTTCTTGCCTCACAGTAATTCAAATAGTGAGTTTTAATATATATATCGATCAAACATGAAACCTCAACTTTGATAAGAATTTTAATACCAAAAACAGGCATCTCTAGTATGAAAAACATGTAGTAATGGGTAAGAATAAGACATTGCACATGGAAACACTAAGATGCGATATCTGGATGTTTAAGTATCAAATCATCAAGTTGAAATGTGACTTCTATAATCTTTGAAAACAAGATTAAGGACTTTAAGGTATTTCCCAAGAAAATTTTGAATTTATATTTAGAAGTACTTAGCCCCAATGACCATACCATGGTTCTAATTTTTAGTTCTTCCTAAATTACTGCTAATTACAATTCCTTTCAAGAGCACAGCATAACACTACCAAACATGATTTGGTTCATATCAGTCAACATTCCTAGAGTTAGGGATGCAACGTACACTTAAGGACATGGACCTTAAAAGCAAGTTATTAAATGACTGAATACAATCATTTCAGAACATCCTCACATTCTATTGTTCTCTTTCACCTTTTATAAACTACTAAATAATACAACTCAATACACATTACCAAACATGAATTTGTTATCTATTCGATCCATATTTACAACAAAAAAATGACAGGAAAATGTTTCTTAATGTATTTAAATGAGGTTGATGTGCATGTCTAAACATGTATCAAAGATATCCATCTTTAAAATGTAGCTATGAGGCATGAGCAATGCATGGCCCACTTGAGAATCAGGAAGTTGAACTAGTAATTTCACAAAAAAATGGACATTCATGTCATCAGCAAAAACATGTATGGATATAGGGGTGTAGAAAATCTACAACAAAAATCTTTAAATATATTTCAGATTTCACTCAATGCTAATGCATTATAAAGATGATATGAACCCACCTTGCCTGGAGTTTGTTTGATTATTTGTTTTCTTGGCTGCAGCTCTATCCAAACCCTTATCAGCAGACCTGATAAAGAGTTTGACGAGAGTGTTCAATAACAATGAACCAAGAAAAAAATATAGACATTAAAGAATGAGAAACAGATGCTGTAACTTAATCACAAGTTACTTAGCTGTAAGAGAAAATTATCCCATAAGTTTTCACCACAATAAAGAAAATGCCAAAAATTTTATTGGAATTTTGTAAATAGATCATATCATATAAATACCACTTTTTCACGGAAGGTGGGGAAATAATACCTCTTTCTTGAACCATCAGATCCATCCTTTGAACTCGAATCACCCCTTTGTTTCTTAAGGGTCAGTGATCTAATCAGTATGTTTTGTTGGTTTGTCTTAATATGTTGACCTTCTGGATAAACAAGGGAGTAAAAATGTCTATCATACAAGAATTATCTATTTAAAAACCAATAAAGAGATAACAAAAATATATAGGATAAATATAATATGGAATTGTGATCACGAGGATGGCAAGAACTTTTATCCATCATTTTCAAATGATTTCATAATTTTGATGATGTACAACAAAAGAATGGAAATTCAATTTTCTGATCCATTTCGAAAACTAATATGAATCTCTATGTTGGGGAAACAAAGATGATCAAGGTCTAAGCATGCTTCAAAAAAAGTTGACAGAACATTTTTCAAACATAAATTTTAAAATGTAAGAACTCTCTAAATTAAGACCTACCAAGTCAAAGAATAATTAAAAGGCAACACGTATACAAAACTCCTACATGCCAAAACACATAATGAACTCGCATGATGTTCACATTGAGACTATTTTGTTATAAAGTTGCGGTCAATGGACATGCTTCTAAGAGTAAATTATGTGTAAACAAACACCATCAGAATCTGGCCATTCTAATAATTCCATAAGGATTTAAAAGACCCATTCTTATGACTATAAGAGATGACAAGGAAACATTGGTTACATAATACATCATACTAATAATTAAATAGCTTACAGTTATTTCTAAGAAAGATAAACTTTCAACGAGGATAAAAGATTTTGTTTGTTTCTTCCCTAATGTCGCGGCTTGGGAACGGTAAAATACAAATATTCAAAGCCATTACAATATGCTTTACAGGTTGCAACAGCACGATGAAATACTATAACTATTAAGGTAAACAGAATGAGAAGACCTGGTGGTGAGGTATCATGATCACATACATAGACCCGCATCCCACCCTGCACAATCAGAAGGTCAAATTCAAACATATCTCTCATATAACTAATAACCACACAAAAACATTATAAGACAACCCTTCAAATTTACAACAGGTCTCCCAAGTCACATCAATTGGAGGGAACATAGTCTTCTATGACCAAAACAAAAAATCCCTATGACATTCACAGATCAACATAAAAAATGAATAAATAGTTGTGCATCAAAGAAAGTAGGGTTAAAGAATCACAATCTATTCTACAATATATCAGACATTGCCTACTTACTCAACAAAGAAACCAAGATAGCGCAAATGCATAATTAAAGACGAAAAAAATCCCTAATAATATTTAAAATGAAATATAAAACACAAATTTTCTGTGGTAAACTAGTAATTTTGACACTTGATAGGTGAAATCTAAAAACATACACCACATATTTTAACATTAGCAAGCTTGAAGTAAAATTTCACAAGAATCCCCAAATAATACACCGCAGTCGTTTCAATTTATCCTAGTATTTCGCCCTACTTACAAAGCAAAGCGATCTTAAAATTGAATAAACCAAAAGCAGGAAAAACCTAAAACAAGAAATTGCTCAGTTTCGGCAGTGCGTGCATAAAACAAGGGAGAACATTCTAGAAGTGAACAGATCGAAGGCATCGCAGAGAATGTAGGTAGGTTCGCAATCGGAAATCGGAAATGAAAAAGAGGGAAATGGAAATGGAAGTACCGGATGGGAAGAAACGACGGAGGAAGAGAAGAGGCCTCGAGAGGGGAGATTGGCGAGGAGAGGAGAAGCTCCGGAAGAAGAAGGATTGGGTGCGTCCATCCCCATGGAAATGAACTTTCGCAATCGCACTCGAATGGCCTCTTTTTCTGTCCTTCGAAGTGTCACAGTTGGGAACTGAAGCGACGCCAACAACACCACCGTAGCTTTCTCTCGAACTGCTCTATATATACGTGGACCAACACAGTAACTTTCTCTTGTAATTGTGGACTCTTCCTTTGACGCGGGATCCCGTCACGCGCACTTTGCTACTCTTCAATCTTGATCGAGGTATTTCGGGACAAAATTTAGGTGCACTTCTCTCTGTAAGATTCCAACACTCCAATTTTGATTAAATGTTAATTAACTTTAGTTAAGTAACTGCATTAAGTTTTGTTTATTTTCATAACAAAAATTTAAACATTGAGACCGTGAACATAAAGATTTCAAACAAATATTTAGAATAACTTCAACAATATTATTTTTTTAATTATATCTCTCCATCACTTTATTTATTAAAAAAGTATTATTAAACATAAAAATAATGCTAGTTATTATACAAGTAGCATTTCAAATGTAAAATAGTTCCTACTTTCTACTGTAAATTAATAAAAATAATTATTTTTATGACTTTTAAAGTACTTATCATAAAATTTAACAAATTTATTATAATTAGTAATTTATAATTAAATAATAATATAAAATTATTTTTCAACTTTCGATGCATAACTTATTTTAATATAT